CATAAAACCTCAGACTAACTGTTGTAAATCTATCCCTCAGTCTTATGCAGCAAGACTATTTCCAGGCTAACCTTGTTTGATTTGCTTCAGTGCCTTCTTGAATAAATTCAGTTCCTTTAGCACTTCCAAGACCATAAAATGCTGAAATTCAATTTAAGTACAGCTTGAGTTCTGTCACTAAAGCAAGGTATTTTGAGTGTGGCCTTTGAAAAGGAAATGTTTTCTGTATCTACTCATGAGATTCACTGGTATCTTTCTCCTGGGAATATCTAAAGCTAAAAAACACTTTCCTGCCTTTGCAAATTGACCTTTACTCCCTCTAACCCATCCATAGGTCCACTTGACATTGATCTGGCTGACATGGTCCTGCCAGAGAATAAACTTTCCCTTCTGTTTTCCAAGCTGTCGCTGAGCAGCACCATAGGGCGAAACAATTGCATGAATTTCTGGTAAAATTCTTTCGATGCAAAATAATAAATGAAGGGATCTAAGCAGTTGTTGAAGCAACTGAGGCACAAGGTGAGCTTGTAGGCGGGGTACAAACTGCTGCTGTAAAATAGGCGGCTGATCATATGTGCAAGTAGGATAAAGTTATTGGGGGCGAAGCAAGTGATGAAGGACAGAAGCACAATTGTTGCCAGGTATATGGATCTAGTCTTTTGCTTATTACCATATCTGCTTGATGTCTGAATTAGCTTCCTAATGATACCAATGTAGCATCCAACTGTTACAACAAAAGGGATCAGGAACAGCACAACAAATAAAGTGAGGAGAAAGGCTACCCAAGCTCCAAAGGTGGGCAGCATATCCCATTTTAGGACATCAAAACAGGTTATAATCCCTAATTCTTTCACTTCATAGGTCAGGTCTGCAGTTTCTAGTGGGTAGAAGGCTAGTAGCAAGGAAAACCACATAGCTAGGCAGGCAGCCAAGGCATATCTTTTTCTTCTCCACTTGCTCAGCTTCAAGGGGTGTACCACACCCATGTACCGCTCCATGCTGATAAAGGTCATGGTCAGTATGGAAGAATACATGTTAGAATAGAACATCACTGTCACAAGGCTGCAAAGAATCTTGCCAAATCTCCAGTGATTGCTTTGGAGGTGATAAGAAATCTGGAAGGGGAAACAGCTGGCCAGCATAAGGTCTGTGATGCTTAAGTTGATCATGAAGATAACAGAAGGTGTTTTGGGTTTGATGTGCCAACAGAGCACCCAAAGGGAGAACAAGTTTCCAGGGATGCTGACCAGAGCCACCACTGTATACACAATTGGGAGGGTGAAGGAGATTGTCTTATTCTGGAGCATTGCTAGGGTCAAAGCATCCAGGTGGGATTCGTTTTTAACCATTATTCACAATTGTTGTTGATCCCTTTAAGCCAGCTGGATCATATCATGGACACTTGGCTTGAAAACCTAGAGGAGAAATGTCAAGTGAAAAAAACAATATGTCAAAACAGAAATTAGGGAAATAAATCACAGATCACAGATCATAAATCATATATTAATCAACTAAAAAAATCCTTTCATTTGACAGATTTTCCTTGAGTACACTGAATCCATTAAAATACTGTCTGAAAAGTCTTGCCTCCCTCCAAATCATCATAATGTTTTACCAGAGTGATGTCTTCCTATCTTGGAGAAGCTACCTTTTCTCTGCTAAATGGTTTTCTGATACTTAGACTCATAGAATCATTACACTTGAAAAAGACATCCAAGATCATGGCACCTTTGAGCAAACACCACTATGTCAATTAAATCATAGCACTGATTATTGTTAACCAGCACCCCTGGGTTCTTTTCCACTGGGCAGCTTCCCAGCCACTCTGCCCCAGTCCTGTAGTGCTGCATGGGGTTCTTGTGGCCCAAGTGCAGGACTTGGCATTTCTCCTTATTGAACCTCACACCATTGACCTTGACCCATCAATCTCTCCTGTCCAGATTGCTCTGCAGTCTATTCATTATCACACCTCCTATGTTACTGTAACATAAAGAAAGTCACATATCACAAGTTGAAATTCAGTTGATGTCTGTGTGAGAACACTAGTCCATAGATTCTTCTTGAGCTAAATCCATTGTATACTCTAGATGTCATAACCTTGATTTCTGTAGTGCACAATATCTTCTGACATTTTTTCCCCGCCAACTAAACTGTGATCCATTTCAGGTAAGAGCTGGCTTTTATTTTTTTTTTTACTTAGGAAAAGGAGAACATGCATTCAATGCTATATTGTAATATAAACAGAATATAAGGAAAGAAACATGAGAACCATGGAAAATTGCACTTGCTTGGACTGGTTTACAGGCTGGAGAAACCCTCATCTACCAAGATGAAAAATCTATTGATCTTCAGTTTCTGCAAAATGTAAGTTATTTTTAAATGTCCTGTTTGTAGCTGTCTTATTTGCATCATCTGTAATTCTGCAAAATTACTTTCAGTTTTGCAGTCTGCAAAGTGGACCCATGCTTTCACTGTCTTCTTTTCATAGATCTTTCTTGGCAGATGCAATAGCTCATAGTTTAGTGTGTTTATTTTAAGCAGCATGGTAGCATTCAGCAGCTGCAGGAAAGAACCCACACCTCAGTGCTTGCTTTTGTTAAGCTGCAAGTACAGGGAGGCAATTTCACAAAAGTACAGCATTGAGAAAGTGAAGAAATGGCAAAAAATGCCCAGAAAGGCAGAGGATAGATCTACAGTATGTTCTGTGGAGAGTTACAATAAGGGCTGAAGAGGTGCCAGGCCAAGTCAGCCAAAAAATGTGGGCACATATCTACTGCTTAATTACAGGCAGAGAGTGGGTTCAGGCACACTGCTGCTTGTGGATTCTCATCACCTACATGGTTTATTCCAAGTGTCTTGTTTCAAGGCAGCCCTGATGTAGGAGGTTAGATTAAAAAACACAGGTGCCAGTTAGTGTCACTTAACCTATTATCTTGTTTAAAAAGAGCTTTAGTTTGTGTGGTCATGTGTAACCGGTCAGTTCCTCAAACTCTGTAGCTGGAAATAACCATTCTGACAAAAAACTGTGCTTTCTGGGAGAGGCTTTTACTGAAAAACTTGTTCTCTGAACCACTGATGATTCCTGAGACCTAGAAAATGTGAAGTCTCTACTGGAGGCTGGCTGCAGTGCAGTAAAGAGATAATCAACTGAGAAAAACCTGAGTGCAGATCCAGAAAAAGGGATCTTAGTGGGGGCTTTTTGAGGTTCTTTCTTGATCTGATATATTTGATATAGTGCTTCAAATGTTAGCTAAAAATATCCAGAAGTGGTGAGAGTCAGTATCAAGAAAATTGTATTGATTAATGTTGCTTCCAGCGGAGTTGTTGGAATCCTAGATAAAGGAACAAGAAAATTGAAATTGCAAAGAAATCAGAGATGTACATATATCATGCACATGACACAGAGCAAGCATGTTTCAAGTACTGAAGTGATCATCAGATGGGGACAATTACAAAAAGCCCTTTGAGCCAAATTTGTTGCAAATGAAATTAAGTTCTTGTCAGGGGAGTTCTATCAAGAATGAAACTCTTCATTTTTCAGGCTAACTTGAAAAAACACTCACACAACTCTTGGATAAAAGCTTTAATGCTCTCTATCTCAACTCATCACTCTTAGCATAGAAAATGTTTATTCATGAAGTCTGTTGCCTCAAAAATCCTGCTCAAGTAGCATCCCTTTGTGCCTAACAACTCTATACTTCTCAAAACAAACAGAAAACTTGTCTGTATCAGTTACTACAGAGCTCTAATAATATACCTTTGCAAGTGAAAGATATTTGCTATCACAGGCCCCTAGATGCTATTCCGATAGAAATTACAGGTACTAGGGAAGGTAGGAATATAGGTGAAAATTTCCATTAAATCTATCAAACTGGTCATAAAGCTATCTAATATGTCTCATATTTTGGTTTGTGTTAGAGTTAATCTCAAACGTATTTTCTTCTGTACTTGTTTTTTCTGAGAGGATATCTTGATAAGAGGGAGATAAAAAAATGCATGCCTAGATGCTGCCACGTGCAAAACAGTGTTAACATTCAGAGCCTGAAGGCAAATTTTTATGCACTTGTGGAATGCTACTGTCAGTAAAACATAAGTGCCTCCAAATGCAGGTTCAAAACACCAGACTTACTGATTATGTGCCTCAAGAGCTTTCCAAAAAGGGTAGGACTCCTTGATATTGGTTTCAGTAATGCAGATGTTTATCACAACGAGCAGAAGGAGAATGATGGGTGGTTCATTTAGAGTCTTTTGCAGGGGAGAAGGGGTCATGCAAAGCACACAAGACTGATGTTGCATGCCATTCATGAGGGCAAATAGCCTCTTGAGGAAATGTGTAGTACAGAAAATCCTCCTCCCAATTTCATCTTTCCTTTTGCCAGATTCTCTGACACTAATGCTGAATTCCTTGTCAGGAAAGCCTGGACTAGAAGAAATTCCTGCTCTGACTCACCTTTACTTGTAATGATTTGTTTTTTAAAAGCCCAGGTGTGTGGGGTTTGGCTGGGATATAGTTAATTTTCTTCATAGTGCTGGTATAAGATTATTTTTTGGATTTGTGCTGAACACAAAGTTGACAGCAGAGAGATATTCTTGTTACCAGTGAGCAGGGCTTACACAGAGCCACCACAGAGCTTTTTGTAGTGCCACACTAGCAAGGAAGTTGGGGCTACACTAGAGGCTAGGAGGAGACACAGACAGGTAGCCCAAAGTGACCAAACAGATATTTCATACCTGTAACATCATTACCTTTATATAAAGTAGAGGGAAGAAGGAGGAAGGGGGGAACATTTGGAGTGATGGTGTTTGTCTTCCCAAGTAACCCTTTCATGTGATGGGGCCCTGCTTTCCTGGAGATGGCTGAACACCTGTCAGCCCATGGGAAACAGCAAATTAACTCCTTGTTTTGCTTCACTTGTGTGCATGGCTTTTGCTTTCCTTATTAAATTGTTTTTGTCTCAACCCACATTTTTTTTCCCTCTTACCCTTTCAAATATCTCTCCAATCCTGCCTAGTGGGGGAGGTGAGCAAGCAACTGTGTGGGGCTTGGCTGCTGGCTAAGCTAAAACCATGACAGCAGGTTAAGCTGCTGGAACCACAATGTACCACTCCCATTGCTGCTTCTGTTGGGGTTTAGTTAATGCTGTGTTTACATTTTCATCTTGTTCAGGGTAACTGTGTCCTTTTCACACTGCATCCGCAGTCTCTGTCTGTCTCTTGTGGTTTAATTTGTAAATGTAACACCTCAAGAGAGAAAAGAATCCCTCTTAAGAGGTTTAAAATTAGATTCCTCTTAAATTTTATGAGCTTTTTACATCCAACTTCAGCTTTCCAAAAAAATTCAAATCAGTGAAGCTTGCACAGATTTTAAAACATCCACACTAAGTTATGGTTTCATATGCATAATTTTAAAAGATATAATTCTGTTACATACATTTCTGTGTTAAAAATACATGGGTTTGCTTTCATTTCAGGAGACCCTATATTTGAAATATGACAGACCAATGGACATACAGAGAGATTGAAACAAAATCTAAATAAGGATTCTTCAAGTGACATGATCCAGTCTTGCTAACATTTACATCAGTCCTCAAGCTTGTGACATAGAAGGAGAAATGTTAAGCTTTTCTGAAACAGTTAGTAGATGGATGTATATTAGTCTAAGTACTAAGCCTCTGGAGTAATGCTCACTAAATCCATGTAGAATTTTTTTTGCTATTCTTTGTACTCACTGGCTTATGGCACTCTGCACAGAAAACTCACTTGGAAATTGAGTAGCATCAGGTTTGCATCCAAGCTGCAACCATAAGGTAAGGTGACAACTGACAGGAATAGGGATTTCTTTCCCTTCAATTGACAAAACATGATAAATAAAACATTAAAGGATGTATTGAAAATCAAACAGTAAAAAGTCACAAGATATCTATGTTATTTTTTTTGCTGTGAAAGAGGAACAGTCTCTATTTTTAGAGAACTGCTAAATTAAGCTGATGTGATTTCTCTCTTACATCTATTATCTTCCTGTTGTCAGTGTCAAGTGCACCTGTGAAAAAGACTGAAAAGCCCTTGAGTGAAGTCAAAATGAAAATTGCCAATTTATAAAAAAAATGAGATTTGCTTTGTGTTTTGAGATTAAAAAATAACTTTAAAAATATATCATGCAGCATAAAGCCTTTCAAAACCTATTGTGTTTCATAATTTTTGGTTCACAACATGTCAAAGCACTATTGCATAGTTTAAAAACTTTTTATTTCATAACTTCTTTAATATTGTTACACTTTTAGAAAGACATCCTTCTAGCTGAAGAATGTAGGATGGCATGTTCCAGATAACAGGGAAAAAAAGCTGAAATGCAATTTCAACTCAATTGCAAATAGATTTAGAATGAAGCAAAGTGAAAGCACAGATTTTATGGTAA